TTGGCCTTTCGAGAGAAAACAATAGAAATGTGGAGGAGTTGGAGGAGGAGGAAGAGGAGGAGGAGGGAAAACAATAATAATGTGGTGGCGGTAGTGGTGGTGGTGGTGGTGGTGGAGGGAAAACAATAGAAATGTGGTGGTGCTGGTGGTGGTGGTGGCGGTGAAGGGAAAACAATAGAAATGTGGTGGCGGCGGTGGTGGTGGTGGTGGTGAAGGGAAAACAATAGAAATGTGATGGCGGTGGCGGTGGTGGTGGAGGGAAAACAATAGAAATGTGGTGGTGGTGGTGGTGGAGGGAAAACAATAGAAATGTGGTTTCCCCAGGTTATAACAATCGGTGACGTCATTGACTAAACCCATATGCTTATTAATTAAGGGAACCCATTTTTTGCGAGGGAATCCAAAGGGAATCCACCAAAACGGTTAAGTTTGACCCTAGTATACTACTTTTGTGCCAGCTAAACAATATGGAAACACTATTCACAGTGACTCCTTGGATATTAAAAAGACTGAACGTGACGCACTATTATGCCTTTGTTTACTTCTGATCACATCTTCAAGCGAAGTCTCTCTTTTCAAGCGATTCATCTCAATGCACAATAATTAGTTTAAATAATAATTTAGTTAAAACCCTATGGTTCATTTATATTAATGCTGTTTTTGCCCCTCACATTGACTGTGTTCGTTCGTATTCAAAACACCTTAACGAAAATAAAGGTCGTATAAGTCATGTGTGTTTAATATGTTTCAAGATAAATGGATTATACGCTTTTTTGAGTTTCCATTTTGCGGTGACTTCAGTTTACATCTCCATAAAATGGTAAAAGAAATATCAAGAAACATCAGGAGAGCTGAAAACTTTCAAAGGCATGTTTCTGAAACTCTCTAATGCTGACATCAATATAGCGTGCTTGCTGAATGGGCGAAAACACAGAATTGTGATCACAAGATCATGTACAAATTTAATGATAAAAGCTTAGCAAGATACAGATACAAACGAAAGGAAACCCCCTGAAACCTGGACGTGGGCAACACTTGTATGCTCTACTCAGTCACCAAACCTTGTCAGTAATAGCTTCTATTTTCCTCAAGTCGCTCTCTGTGAAGCTCCCGGATGGGATGTCCCGGTGAAGCTTTAAAATTAAACTTGTGTGCGAAATTCTCAGAGTCCCTATTTTTGTCCGTGTCTTCTTTATCCTCAGTATCCGAAATTTAGACCTCCAAAGTGGCGTGTGTTGCATTAAATAGAAGGAAATATTTAAAGGAAAAGCCAGTCTTCTAACATGGCAGAGTTGTCACGTCCCTGGCGAATGGACGTGCGTAACATCAGGATTCATCTGCCATTCATCGGCAACTGAGTTGTTCGCTTCACTGACTACGAAGGCTTACAATCAAGTCTTCAGCCATAGTGTCGTCAACTGGTGAAGTACTTTGCTCATAAATTGTGCTTGTTAATTGCTCATGTACTACATCGATCGATAATTATCTCTTTGAGTTCACGAAGCGGCCACGGCGTTCCAAACCTGACGCTCACAGTCATCTTTTAGTGTAAACCTACTGTGAACGGCGTGTCGGTTTGAATGCAACGCGAGCATTTCTCTAAGTGTCCCAGCGCCAACATCATCTAACTGACTTAAACTCGAACAATAAAAAAAATTATAGAGAGACTCCCATGATCGAATCGCTTCGAACAACGCAAATAGCCTTCTTCAGGTTCGCAACGCCTTGTGGGTTTTTCAGGGGGAGCGGAGACGAGGTACAAAAAGTATCCGTGTAAGGCTCCGTGCAAGAGAAACTCATATGAAACCATTTGTGAGAACATCGTTTCTCCGTACCAGACCCTCGTGTCTTCCCTCCCCCGGGAGGCCGTTTTTCGCCACAGACGACCGAAAGCCCATTTTATGACTGGGCCGCACAGGCAGCCCAGTAACAAGTACAGTGGTGGGTTTTGTTAAATTAAGCATCCGTCAAAAGGCATAAAAACATTACATTTAAGACGGGGAAATCAATATTAACTATATACTATAACAATATTAACTAATTAGAACACTTTCTTTTTTCTTGCGAGTTTTCTCTTTCAAGTAATTATGTATATTAAGTAAGTATGTGTGTGCGTTTCGATGTATTACGATCACGCTTATAAAGGTACTTTGTAACGATATTCTTCGGAACGTTTACTTTCTATTTGTGGTTAGAAAATGTCTAAAGGCTTTTTAGAGTTCAGTAAGGTTATATCAAACCTGACTGTACTGAGCGTCTCCCAAGGGAGGGGGGTCCTTGTTCCAACACGTTTTCCTTATTTGCTCCCCTTTTTTATAAATTTGTGAACCACTTATCACCGCCATCAATTCCCTCCCGCAAAAAAACAGACACCAACAACAAAACTTGTAAAAGAAGAGAATAGATTGTATGTGATTTGAGCGAAAGTCACAATCCATCAGAGTGGGACGAGCATTAGAGCTAACCTTAGCTGGTTAAAAATAAGTGACGGGCATCACACGACTGCTGCACTTGGTCGTATTAGAAGTTATAGGGCCTTCAGCGCTGTAACTGAAAGGTTCTTCAGAGATTTTCCCTTGCGATAAAATATGATGGGAGGCTCCTTGAAGATTTTTCTTAGCCGTTGCTTGTTTTGTATAAGGTATAAGGTATTTCCCTATTAGTTTTCTCTTCAGCCTAGGTAAAGCTGGGTGGTATTGTGTAACAAAAGGTAGAAGTTTTTACGTGCGGATTTGTTTCTGTGTTGTAGGGCTGTTTTCCTGTACGGCAAATTGCCGCACAGAGCCTTGACTTTGTTTCTCTTTCTTAAAATAGCGGCAGGGTAGCCTCTTTCTAACAGGCGGTTTTGAAAATTTCTGATATTCCTCTAAAATGTGATCTGCGAGGAATTAGTCCTTAGAGGCCTGAGCGCTTCTCCTTTTATGAGGCCTTTCTTTACGCCTGGTGGGTGACACAAGTAGAAGTTCGTGTACTGGAATGTTTCTGTTGGTTTAGCTGGCTACACCGATCTGCGATTCCAAATCCTTCTCTAACTCGAAAAATAACATCAAACAACATCTTGTCACTCTCGCCCCCGATTCCAATTTCAAAGGACCAACCAATTGCTGGTTTTTCTTCGCCACTTCTATAAATTGCAGCAGTGACAGGCAGCACAACACGATCGGCAAACGATCTATCCACCATCTTGGCAATCTGTGACAAAAGATTCCCGCCAACTTGTGAGCCTCGTAACCTCGCACCCAGACTCCTAGCTGAGAGCCTTGACTTTGTTTCTCTTGCGTAAAGTAGACAAAACCAATGACAGTGGTGCATAAATGACCATAAATAGGATCGCAGGAATAACGCTCGTTATTTCTTATGTCAAAATGTTTTCGTCCTCTAATTTGTACAGTTTTGTTCCCCTGTTCCCTAAAAATAGGCTCATGTTCCCTTGTTCCCTTAGATATTTTGCCAATGTTCCCTTGTTGCCCAAAACCCCTGGAAGACCCTCTGTGCTAGGTCAGAAGATTGTCTCAAATCTTACAAACGTGCATAAACTAGCCGCATAAGACTACTCCCGACTTCATGAAATTAGAAAAAAAAAAATCAAATGCAATGATTACTCAGGCTTTCCTTTCGAGATCCTGTAAGTTAAGGCCAGAATCGCTAGCGCTTGAGACTTTTCAACCCTCTTAAGCATCAAGCAAGGTGAAAAAACGAAAACGATGCCATCCGAAATAGGATTTCCGACTTTGACAAGCGGCGCATTTCTTAACCAAAAATCCAATAAACAATACAGTTAAAAACATCACAAGTTGATACAAAACTCTGTCAGCGTTAGCTATCATATCATAGTAAACAAGTTTCGAGATGCTGCATAAATTTTCCGCATTATTTTCAGCATTCACGGGGAAAATTGTCATAATTGTTTGGAGCTTCTCTTTTAAGGAACTGTCTGGCAAATTCCGGGGAAATTGACTTTTGCCACGTGTTGAAGTACCATAAATGAAACAACTACATGATGTTATGTTTTCTACTTCCACCTTCCTTGGGTGTGATAGCAATTACCAACTATAAAGGAACATTTATTTGGACTGCAACCTTACAGTTCTGTTGGTAAACAGAATTTGAAAGCTTTTTGGGTATAATTCTAAGTTTCTAAAGAGGAATTCTAAAGTTTCGACAAACTTAGTGGTCAATTTCTCGGAGACGAAAACTAACACATTTTTTATGTAATTCCAGTTTAAACAGGGATATCGAGAACCATGGCTTTCTCACTCCATGGACAGCATCAATAACAAAGAACAATTTCACTAAGCTAACAGAAAGCAGAACAGTTGCATTGTCTTGCAAGAAAGTATTCAGTTGTTCATCAGCTCAAACAATTTCTTGCTCGCTGGGCTATTAAATGCCGGTCATTTATATAGATTGAAAACTATTTGAATTTTCTTTCCCCTGTTTTTAACAACTGATCTCTGAACTGGCCCAGTAATTTGTCCGTACGCCACTGAGGTCCACAGCGATATTTTGAGTAGTTGGTAGCTAAGGACAGTTCTCGACAACTTACACCATGTAGGTGTTATATGAGTCGTGATGTAAATGGCAGCAAGTATTTAAAGCTTCAGCAGTTCACGACTTGAGTGCTGTCAAGATTCCAATTCCTGTATGATATCATATGGTTTCAACGTGAGAATGAAGCAAACAGCTTGCGTGGAAACGAGGTCAATTAACGCAACCGAAAAAACGACTGATATTCTCAATTCTGTCCCACAAAATTAAAAGGCAGACTGTTGACAGCAATAACTGAAATCACATGAAGAGCTCGTTTAAAATCGTCATGAACTTTCTGCCGTGCAAGTTATGGGATATCTTTCGGGAGGAAGCGGGTCAAACGAAAAAAAATTTCCCTTTGCAACAGCATATCCATAATGACTGTCCATGCAGGACTTGAAGTGTTGAGAAGACTCATCATGTGGAATGAATTCCCCGTCAAGGCCTCCAGGTCGTTGGAATGGGTTCATTATCTGCCGAGCACGATTATGAAGAGATTTGAATTTCTCCATTTCACCCAATCTCAAGTACAGGGCACTGAAATTAAACAACAATGTTGCTACCAACGCGTGTTCTTTTCCTGAGACTCTTTCCCTAATACGCAACGCTTCTTCAAAGCATTCCTTTGCTTTCCGAAATTGACCATTGTATTGGTACGAAAGAGCAAGGTTATTATATGAATCAGCTATCACAGCATGATCATGAAAGAAAAGCTTCTTTCTCATTTCCAATGCCTTTTCCAGATATTGAATTGCCTCCATGGTGAGGCCCATTTTGCTGTGCAAGATTCCAAGATTGTTCAAAGAATCTGCAACACATGGGTGTTCTTTGCCATATATCTTATTTCTAAGAGCATATGACCTCTCGAAAAATTCCTTTGCGGTTTCCAAGTCACCCATCACACTGTGGATGCAACCAACATTGGCAAGTGAAGCTGCAACTTCAGGATGCTCAAGACCATATAACTGTTTCCTCATGTCAAGGGATTGCTGGAAGTAATATTGCGCTTTTTCCATATACGAGTTGTCATCATAGTAACGTGTTGCCAAATTAGAAGGCTCGAGACCGTACTGCTGAAGCACGTAATCCCGTCTTTTGCGTTCCCTATCGGAAATTTCGCTATCAGAAAAAGTGTAGTAGAGTGTTCCCAATTTGTTCAGCGAGTCCGCAATTTCTGGAAGGCTTGTGTTTGGTGGGTGCAGTGCCCTGAGGGTGTCTAAAGCACGCTTGTAGTACACTTCAGCAGTCTCGAACTCGCCATTTTCATGACAAATCAGACCTTTGTTGTTTAAGATGGTGGCAATAAAACGGATTTTGTTTCTATCGTTACTGTCATATTCATCTAATGCAATTTGCAGGGCATCATGGAAATAACTACTGGCCTCCCCAAGGAAAAAATGTTTCCTACAAATGTCCCCAAAACTGAAAAAAGTACCTTGCAGTGAACGCTTTTTGTTGGTTTTAGCCAGGACTAATTTCCACAGCTGTTCGGGTCGATGGGAAAGATATTTCAAATGAGGAGCCATCATTTTTGAGGTCAAATGGAAGTCCAGGTCATAATGAAGTGGGTCATGCTGGGCAGAGGCGGACAGTATTTCAATGTACAACAGAATGAATTCGGCAATCTGCTCCTTGCTACACTTATCAAGAAGGTACTTCCTGAAGACTTCATGAACAACTTGGTGCATCCTAACTTGCACCTTTGAGCTCTCATCTGGAGAATGCTGTATTAGCAGGGAGCATTTCACGATTTCAGCAGCAGCCAAATCTTCATCGCAATCTGGATCTTGCTCTGCAAGATAACGAATAATCAAATCCACATGTACAGGCGTTGGGGCACCCAAGGCAAGAAATGGAACCACATGTTCAAAATTTGGCTCCTGCACCAGTTTTTCAAAAGCCAAGGTAACTGCAGCGATCATTGAAGATCGATAACACCTGCTCGCCCGTTTGTATACTTTCTCTGCAGCAGCTCGCTCTTCCAGCGTGTCCAGTTTCTTTAGGTATTCTTTCCAACAGTAACCCGAACTTGTCTTTCGGCCTGCCACAATGTAACGCGCATAAATTCCAGCACAGGCAATAGCCAAAGGTTGATAGTCCAAAGCATTCAGGACTAAGGACTCTTCTTCACTATCACTGGAAAACGGACAAATCTTTCGAAGTAGAATGCTTGCATCTTCAGACTGCATGCCCTCACTCAGAGACACACTCTCACAAAGAGGGTCAGCTTCTGGTAGGTTGGTACTGTCCTGGGTAGTAACAAGAACATAACCACAACCCCCCCAGTGCTCATCAGGCAAGTAATCTCCACGACCTATCCAGTCATCAAAAGACCAAAAATCGTTAAGCTCGTTAACATTGTCATATATAAGAAGCCAGCTGCAATACCTTTCCATTTTGGCAGACACAAGAGTTTTTAGATGACAAATCTTTTCATAGGGCAACAAAACTGAGTCCCCTCCTGTGATGCTGTTAAGGGAATATTCGGTGACACCAACCTTAAGGGCAAACTTGCAGTAAGAATCTAACAAAGATTGTTCACTTTCAGCATTGAAGGTCATTACAAGCGTGCAACTATCATGGTCATTCTTAGCATCTTCTCTTTCAAAAAATAGCCTGCCAACTTCACGAGCAACTTGGCTTTTGCCACATCCTGGATTACCAGAGATGTAAATCGTAACAACAGAAGCATCCTTGTTGTTTTCCTGGAGATCTGAAAACTTTTGCATGATGTTTTCAACTTCCACTTTCCTTTCGACAACCGCATGTGATGGCAGCTGTGGAAGAATGACGAAAGATTTAGGTTTACCTTGTATCTCATCTTCCAAGATCGTCACCTGTTCTTTGAACTTCTGAAGTTCCCCGGTGGGAAAACTTTTCTGGTTGATTATTCTCTGAAGTTCTGCAGTAGCAAGATGAAGGGACGTGAATGCATTTGACAGACTGGATACACACCTCTGAAACTCTGCTTTAGGAAAACAAGCTTTAGAACGATGTGCAAATACTTCATTACGGAACATTCGCAAATCGTCTACACCATTGAAAACTGCTGTGCTTATAAAAGGCCCCAGGGTGTCTGAATAGAGAATTGCAAAGAACAAACATGTACAATCCCATTCTTCTGTGTTTCCATTTTGAATGATAGACAAGAGTCTTGAATTTTTTGAACGACTCTTTTTTGATTCCATTCTAAAGAAATCCTGCCCATTTCTTGCAGTATCTTGCCATAAACCAAACCCAGGACTGTGGTGTCGGTCCCATTCACGTTTAAACAGTTCTTTAAGACCTTCCCTGATGATGTGGGTGGTGATGTAACAAACACGGAAATAATTCAGCTCCTCTTCGGTGTATTCTTTGTTGGCCATTCTTCAAATCCAACGTCCAAGGACTGTTTCTAAAAAACAAAACAGGTTTAAATAATTAGAATTATTTCTCCATAAATGATCTTCACGTTATCGTAAAGTAAATACAAATTTAGCAGCACGTTTTCAAGTTCGTGGAAACAAGTACGCTTTAGGCCTAAGGATGTCGAAATAAGCTTCGTCAAGCCTGGAGACTAGAGCATTTTTTTTTTATATCAGACATATCATCAGAGGGTAACCACTTTGGTATAAACGGATTTCTTTTCGTTGGTCACAAACTACGGATAGACTTCTAACTGGTATACTCTTAACATCAGCGAAGCATGCATCAGGGCTCAAAATAACTGCCGGTCAACGGAAAATGTCCGGTCAAGATAACCATTTGTCTGGACAAACCTTTGTCTTCGAAAGTAAGAGTTCCACGAAAGAAACAGATAATTTCATTTCTATTTAATTATACTACTTAAGTGACAAGAAAGAATATATAATAATATATAGGAAAAATATTATTGTATTCTAGACCTCAGAGGTAGCGACAATATTGTTTCATATGGTCAGAAATGACCACACTAGTCAGGCAATTACAACAAATGAATTATATGATTATAATAATATATATATATATATATGTTATGGTCCAATTTTATCCCTGGTTTTAAATTATGTTTTCCTTTGTTTCAAACTCATTATCATACTGATTACCATACCCAAAAACAGAGGAAAATAAAAATTGAAACCAAGGATAAAATTGAGCTCCAAATATCCATACAACTTTCAAAACTCGTACAGGGATTGCAAATTTTATTGATGAGTGGAGTCACTGTGACTTCTGCTTCACAAATGTTGGGGTCATTTTGGAAAATTTGGAGTCACGTATCACAACGAAAAAAGCCATTTTCAGACTTTCCAGAACGTGGCCCTGGCATGTATAACTATCGTGATGGATACACGGAGTAGCTGTGGCGGTCCACTGACCTGGAAAGCTCAAATCCATGATGGCGGTCATCGAGTAAACTTTGATCGTAATTTACCCTCTTCCTGTTTTGTCGTGCAGTATCATTCTTTAATTTTGATGATTTAATTAAGGTTTAAAACGTTTACAATTAACGTAAATTGCATTTGTTGCGAAAAAGGTAGGGACAAAACTGTGTTTGTTACCGAAAATTTCTGAAGTCGAGGTGACTCCCTCCGTAACCTCTGTGGAGTCATCTGAACAATTTTGGCGTAGAATACGCCAAATTTGGCGTATTTGCGAACCCTGCTCGTAGCAACAAATTGTATGCTAAATTTGTATTCTAAATGTCTTCGCTAGAGCAGATAAAAAAACGTTTTTGGTAAGAAAAATATATGTCTTACAATATAACATATCAAGAGGACGAGAATCTTTTTTCACTTCATGTTTTTGCTTGTTGAGCTTAAGTTATTTTTAACTTAAGTTAAAATTTCTAAGGTTGGGCAACATGACTGGAAACAGTCCCAAAATATTTTTCCCCCAGTTTATTATACAAAGCAATCTCAACAGTTGTGACCTACATAGTGAACAAAGTAATACCTTAGTGGTCATAGTATGGAGGAAGAAAAAAAGCACTAAGAGACAGGGGGTCCTGACCCCACCAACCCTCCCCCTGGATTACCACTAGTTCCAAGTACTGCACCTCTAACCCAAGGAAGCATTATTTTTCCATTCTGGGTATGCTTGAAAGTGACTGAGCCTTTATTTTCAAAACCCTAGGTGCTAGTTCAGCCAAAAATTTAACCTGGAGCTTATCACTCCAAAGGCTGGTAACCAAGCAACTAATACATAATAACAAATACAATGAATAACAGCCCTTGTCCTAAGGTGATAAAATAGTAGTCCCGGAATTATTTTTTAATGGCAATGAAAGAAAAAATATGAAGAAAAAATATGTTGGCACTACTCTACAGGAAATCATCCAGATTCACAAAAAGCTTGGTGCGCTTAGTCACATATCAGGTATTTTTTCATCAAGGCCACCACGTTTTGCAACCACTAGGTTAATTCATTATTTCAGTTGATTTCTTTGCATAATGTAAGGTCACTTGATAGTACCAGATAGAACTGTTTCGAACAGAACTTGTTTTGTCAAACACAAATCAGCTACAGGGTTGACAGACTCCATCCACATATCTGCTCAATGCAATCAGACCAGAAATTAAGTACGGCCAAAAAATTTAAAACAAAGTAACTAGTCAAAAGCTTGGCATATTTTTAACAAACTTATAACCAAAATCTTTCATTTATCTGAAAGACTGAGTTAAATTTATGTTCACCTTATTTTAAGGATTTCAATGACTGATCAAAACTCAACAATTGTTTGCTGGATCACTGCAGCTCATCGATCAGCACTGAACCTCGTGGCTGCCAAAATTACCCACGACCATCTGGAAACCTCTTCTTTCGTTACAGTCTCTTTTATTACACTATCACCATCAAAAATTGTCATAAAAATTTTAAAAAAAACAACAATTATTTAAATTGTTAATATTACAATAATAAAATCGTTATTAATAATTATTATTAACATTATTATTAAATCATTATTAAAATTTAAGAATGAGCCCTTATGAAATGATCGATAAAACTCAAACCATATGCAAAGAAATTTTCATCACAAATCTGCTTTTTGCTTTTAAATTTAATGTGATAATGACCAGTTTCGTTACAATTTATCAGGTCAATCTTGAAGGCCAAAGTCAGGCTGATTGTTGTGTTTGATCATGTGCCTGTGGGCTGTGATGAATTTATTTACAATTAGCATTGTATAGTGTCTCCCACATTCCACCACTCTGTTTATATTCAGCCTTCCCACAGACTAACGCACACTCATGTTTCATCTGAGCACGGGCAAACCACCCTCCGTTTGTGCGGCCATTGTTGTTGGTGAAATCTGAGCATCAGTCTTTTGCAGTCAGTAGAGACAATAGAACATTATGGCGGCTACAATTTACTCCATATACAAATACAGATTTGAACATAAATGATCAAGCAAAGCTCAAGCTAAATGTTAACTTAGTCAACTGTCATGTTTCTTTGCCATCCCAAGCTGTTTACTGAGTTATTTTGATAGGACGATTACTTGAATTTGAAGACTACGTTTCATATTCAGAGGCTTTCATGGGTTTCAGTTTATTTGTGATTATGGGCGACGTGGGGTGGTGTTGATGTTGGAAGAAATCTCCGAAGGCTGGCATCTATGACACTGACTTTTTTATTTTACTGCATTCCAAACGAAAATGTTTGGCAATTTCAAGGTTTTTTGATTCGCCATAGGATTTGCAGGCTAGTTCGAGATACGGTAAGCAAGAAAGTTCTGAAAAGCTTAACATAATCTGTTATTGCGACTTGCGTTCAAACGTTTGATTACGAACCGGTACCGGTACTTTGTTGGTTCACTGATTTGCCACGAGCTTTAGAAAGTCCTATAAGTGCTTTAGAGTTTAAAAACAAAAAATTTAATCAGGTTCACCACGCGGTCAGACACGCGGTCTTTGTTTAAAGCAAATATAGGGCGCGATATATCAATTCAACCAAAATTCAGACCGGTCCGACCGGGAAAAGAGGACCACCTCAAAAGGTGGACCTGTTTTTTCGAAACTTTTCCGGTTGGACCGAACCGATCCATTGAGTTTTGGACCGAAATTTCCGGAAATTTTGGTTGAATGGATCGCGCCCATATTATCAGGATACTATCCTTGCAAAGGCGACGATGCATGTTAACGCAAGTACTCCACTCAAATCAAGAGAATTTATGTAAGACTTATTTATGACTCGCTTATGGACGAAGAAAGTATATTTAACTCACCGAGAGTTTTATTCTTTGTTCGATGTTCCTTCTTTAACGTAAGTAGAATCTCAAACGAACAGTCTTCTTCTTCTTCCTCCAACGACTATTTGTTTTCCACTTTCGGTAAATTCGTCCCCAGGCTGTTCAAATGGTAGCCCAGAAGTCGGCAAATCTCCGAAGGCAAAAGAAACGCATTGGCTGGTTACCACACAAGGGGTTGATAAAAGCGCTTATGATTTACATAAGAATGAAAAAGTTTCTTGTTCGGCTTTCCAAGGTAAAACTACTTGAGCTATGATCAGTGTGTGGTGATCAGGTGATAGGATCTGAAAGTAGGTCTAATATTCGCCAGTGCATCATCACCCACAATGCACTTCGATTGCACCCATCCCCCGCCAAACAAATTTTGGCTATTTTACGGTTAGCCTCCCTCGCAGGCGTTTTTAGGGGAGCTCGTATTTCTTCCCTTCCCACAACTATACGGCTATAAACGGTTAACATGTTTTTTTTTCTGCTAACGGTTATTTTTTTTCAATTTTTATGCCTAACGGCTAGATTTTTTACCGTTTTACTGCTAACCTGAGATCTGGCTCTATTTTCGTTTCGCTTTGAAACTTACATTCCGGCGTTAGCCGCTGGAGAGAATGTATGAGAACCGCTAAAATTGGGCCTGATCTCAGGTTATTTTACTGCTAACGGTAAACCCCATTCAGATCCTCTTATTTCTCCCTGGTGTAACGGACTTACGAGAGAAACTAAAAACAAAGCTTGTGCACGTTTCTTTCTTTTATTTTTTACTTTCTTTCTTTCTTTATTTTGGGCCGGTGGGGGGGGGGGGGGTGGTTTGACGGCAGGAAGACAAACAAGGTGTATTATGGGAGATCTGCAAATAGGGAATAACGTATCATGCAAAGAAAAGCGCGCTAAAAGTGTTTGAATTAGAACCCAGCTAAAAACAAGCACTTCGTTAGGCTCAAGATACAAAATAAGCCCTTACCACCCTAGCCTGCGTCGCACACATAATTCAACCAGAGTTTAGTTTCGTCTGTGGTGCAGGTTATAAGCGTCTAAGCCCACATTTCGTCCCTTACTGACGCTATTGGAAAACTATGTGTACCTCTCGAAAATTCCTGACACGTTCATATCGCTGAAAAGACGGTATAAGTACATACAGATCTTCAGCGAACACAACATTTACACCTCATTGCAAACTAGCGGCAATTATACCTTAAACATTTGTAAGGATAACAGGAGTATCCTCTCTTGGGGCCAATGTATCATGAAGGCAAGAGAATAACTAGATTAGTCACTATTTTGGAAGGATTACTTGAGAGTGGCCCATTGGGGGACATCACATTGCCAAATGTTGAAGACACGGCCCCTGGGTTACTTCCATATGACGTGGATACTCTTCGTACATTTTAGGGGCCAGTGATTGTGGATAAGTAAGGGTATAGGCTCGTTTACCTGTCACTGCTCCGAAAAAAAAAAGCCTGCACTCTTCCTCCCCTCTTCGGGGAGGTGGGGGAATCAAAGACCGACCAGGGAAACGGCAGAAATCGAGCCTAGGATAAGGAGCGCCAGATATAAAACTGTTAGATCTTTGCTGCAAGGAGGTTGATTTGACGCGACTTTTAGATTGGCTGTAGATCCGCAAAAATAATGAAGATGAATCAAGGGATTTGGCATTTCCACCACCAAAAAGTACTCCCGCACTAAGAATTCGGGTCGATTAATTATCATCAAAAGCTCCAAAATATTTCTCCTGCCTCTTAATTTCGACGGGGTACAACTTGCTCCAATCAGGGTGTAGCCACCTAGAGAAATTTTCCCTTGCGTGTGTCCGACAAAGTATAATTTTTACTTCGGCAAATTTCACATTGACAAGCAATGACGCGCGCTACAATTTAGTACCATTAAAACATTCAAGGTCACTTAGTGACACTTTAATAAATACTAGTGATAAATCTTATTTACAAGCTCTTTTTATAGGAAGAACACTGTACAACTGATTAATTTACTGTCTAAACAACCTTCGATGGTGAACGTAAACAAAGTAAATAAAACAACTGTTGAGTTGCTAGTCTGCGTCACGCTAGCCGGCGTCACGCTAGTCTGCATCACGCTAGCCTGCGAATACAATCGCCTCTCATGAGGACGTTTCACAAGACCCATCGGCGAGAGGCAGCTGTATCGTTGTACCATCAAATAAAGATCCTGCGACAAAGGCTGTAAGTTCTAAATCCATTGTAACGTAAGTGGCCAGCGATCCAAGGAAAAGAAGAAAAAAAACCGGCGAGAGAATTTTTCTCCTTATGGGTAAAGCAGGATCTACATTGGAAAGTATGTGCGAATCGCACTCTTAAAAAGTCTATGACCATACATCAACAAACTCAATCGTGGAAATAGACCTCTTTAGCTTGAACGTTTGGTTTTTCCAATGTAGGTCATGTTATATTACTCTTATTGTGTACCCATAATTATGAAAAGAAGAAGGGGGTAAATCCCCATGAGACTTCATTGAGAAAACAAACATACAAGCTTAAAAGGTCTATTCTATTCAACATTAAATGGATCAATTACGGCTCACATGGGGGCTGGACTTCGGCGTTCGTCAGTCAATCAAAAACGACAATACATACCGTATTTATTCGATTAACCGCACTGGGCGCTTATTAAATTTTTGGACCTTGAGAGTGGGCGCTTATTCGAGGCTGGGCGCATATTAAATTTTCACCATTCTCAGCAAGTGCAGTAGTATATTTTGCAACAAAACAGTAAATGCTAATAGCAAAAAGCGAAGCTATAACAAAGCAAAGTTTCTGTACAATACTACCCTGAAGAAAACTCCGTCGTCGGGAGGGTCTCTTATTATATCGTATTGGAGTTTTTGTGGGAGGGAGTGGGGTGGGGTGGGCGCTTATTCGAGGCTGGGCGCTTATTAACTTTTTCTGCCTTTAGGATGGGCGCTTATTCGAGGTGGGCGCTAATTCGAATAAATACGGTAGTAACTTGTCGAAGCAAATGTCCGGAGCCAATTATATCACCACCATCATCAGCCACAATTCAATAACATTAACCGAATGTTGCTATTATCTTTTGCCATGCTGAATTAGTTTACTTTAGTGCAAAATAAACTAAACCGAAGAGTATCAGTCGATTACGACCGAATCAATAGTTGGTCGCTTTGACGGTACGGAACAAGGCGAGGAGAGCGTCTCATGCTTTCGTTTGCCACTCAATGGCTGATGTGTTTCTACCTGCTCTCCTGTGTTTTTAGAGTGAATTTCGTTCAACATGTGTTGTGGTACCAGTACAGGGGTGTGGCCATCCGACGGCCCCCCTGAAGAAGCGATCAGTCGCTTAGCGTCCTCAATTGTGGGTACAAGCACTACAAGTCCTTGCGGTATGTTCTGTTCGCTGCTTCGAGAGGAACGTCGAGACAAAATGATCGGTTTCTTAGTTGTGGGCGTCGTCTGTTTTTGAGCTGAATTCGCTGAGTTATCATTCGGCAACGAAATGACAGCCATGGCTGGCGCCTGCGAATCAGTCACGTGACAAGCCGTTGATAAAACAGGAGTTTTTCCCTGGGCATGCTCGAGATGAGATACTGCCGCTGATAATGAAACAGTCTCAGCTGAATCACTCACTTTAGTCGCGATAAGTTCACGTCTACTATGAGTAGAACAATGAGAGCTGGAATTTGGCATCTTCGAATTGTACGGAGTGCCGATGTCCGAGTTAAGCGGGCTTGTCCCGGTAAATATTTTTCTCGGAGGACTTAAAGACACAGAAACACCATTAACATCAGAATGATGCTTCTTAACAAACGAAGGTGAACTGGCAGGCTGTGATTTGTCTTTAGTACAACACCCATCATTTCTACATTCCTTTCCATCACCAGCATCGGAATCGTTTGAAGTATGTGTGACACTAGGACACGAGGTAGTGACAGAAGAGGATGACGTCACACTTTTCTTAACCAATAAAATTTCACAACTTTTCGTCTCCTCCTTGCCACCGTCGTCACTTGCCGAGGTCGGAGGACTGTCATACGAGAAACTGCTGGTCGGTACGACCAGGAACTCAGGCTCAAGACTGGATGCCAAAACTGGAGCTGGAACTCGCATTAATTCTGGATGATCTCTACACACCGTTCTCACTAGAAAAGGAAACATTCATTTGATGTTCAATACATTTTTTAAGGTAAAAAAGTGTTGCATGCATGGCTACGGCAACGGCCAATTTATGCTTCAATAATTTATGCCTCTCTTTTTTATCAATAGACAGAACTTTGGAGTTTGCAACTTATTTGCATTTGAACGCACCTTTTCAGACCGATATCACCAATGACAGAATTTGTGCAAAGTGACATGTGAAAAGTGAAGTGTTCCCAATAGTTTTACTTCTTGTTCTAGGTTTAATTTACATAGGTATTTCTGCTGCTGTTGTTCTTCTTCTTTACAAACAAAAAGGAATTTTTTTACCTGTTCACCTTTTGTTGCACAAGCGCTTTTTTAACTGAAGTAAACTGTTATATTGAAACAAATTTCAAGATCTGAAAAAGTAAGACTAAGTTTGTCTTTGAGAATAGTGAGTTGGCAGTATATGTTAAAATATGCCTTGATGAATTTTCCTTGTGTACGCTTTTGTTCCAACAACAAACACTGAGGGTGTACACTATTGTTTACTTCACGTCAAAGTTATGTTGACAAATCATGATTAACTGTACTTGAATGAATACCTTTATTTAAGTGTCAACTGACTAATGTAGCAGTAGGAGAACCACTACATTAACAACGGGACACTAGGTAAGACGACTGAATGCTCTCCAAGTTGGAAGTAATTGGATTCAAAATCCTCAGCATGATTTTCATCCAATTATTTCCAAACTGGACAGCGTGTAGCCGCATTTCATAATATTTCAATTTCAATATAAAACAGCATTTACCTGAGGACTGCTTGTCAGGAGATACCAGTGAATGCGACAAAGCTATTTTTAAAGGACTCACATTCTGTTTGCGATTGCGACGTGACACCCTCTGCCAGGAGAATGTACCATGTCCATATGGGGAAGTCTGAGGAATACTGACACCATGTAACAATGATGCGAGAGATGTCTTTGTAGACCTAATAGCACTGCCGCCATCATCATCATCTTCAGTTTGCAAAACATCAATCACTTGTAGAAGCTGGTGTGCCATGGGTGATGTCGTTACTGATTCTTTTTTGGTACAGCTTTTATCATCTCCTGGACTGTTCTTGTCATGTTCATGACTTGATGCACTTTTTGAAGGACTTAGATGAAGCATCTTTGCTTGGTTATTGGTTGCATCCGTTGTCACTTCTTGACTGGAAACTGCACTGACAGTTTGAGGTGCTGGTGGCATTTCAGGGCTAACTTGTACTACTGCTGTACCTGGGGTGGTACTGTGAGGAGAAGGATGGCAAGGCTGAGGCACACGGTGAACGTTTGCATGAGAAAGGCAAGCTGGACAGTGACAATGTACTGGCACTTGATGAACAACACATGGTACCTGTCCATGATCATGCGATGCAGAGCATTCTGACACAGCTGGATTTCCTAACGAGATGCTTGATTTGCTCAATGTATAGACTTTTGGTCCTTCACAGTCGTGAACAAACACCCGTTGCTCGTCCGATTCACCAGATTGGGGATTAATCCAAGAAGGATGAGATCTGCTGGCTGTTGACAATGCTGGGGCCACGGTTGCTTGTGGATTTTGAATTGTTAGCCCAGCTGCAGTTCCTAGACTCAATGAGTTTACTGTTTTCTGAGCTAACTCAACTTGATCCTGAAGAATGGCTAGAGTGTCTGAGGCATGTTTCATCTGATTATGAAGCAGGCTCAGGCACTGATCTGCAAAGGAGACCTGGTTCTTAAGAACAGAGATACTTTCCTTAGCATCTTGAACTTGTCGTAACAAGGTACCTTCAGGTGCCTTCGGCTCCTTTACATTGCTTTCTGTTTTTGCATCAGTTGTTGCAGAATAAGTGTAATCTGTTGAAGTGCCTGATTCCATGTTGTTATCAAGTCAGCTTTCTATGACACTGGAAGGGAAGAACATATTTCTTTTTACTTTAAAATATCATGACAGTTCATGAAAGCTAAAAACTAAAATTACTGGTAATAACAAGAGGAATGACAGGGGCGTAGCTAGGGGGGTCCTGGGGTGCCCGTGACCCCCCCCCTTAGTAGGCCTTCTTTTGAGCAAACAACCTACAATATTCAGGTGGCGAAAACGCCATGACAATATCTTGGCAGTAAAAGCCATTGTTGAAAAGCCCACTTTTTTAAAATTTTGTTTTTTGTAAAGTATTTTCGTCAACAGCTTTTGTCTGTAGTTAATATGGGCCTTCATGCCGCGATAATACGACTGAGCCCGCTGATACAAGAGGGAGAGCAGCAGTGAGTAGCCTCTGTAACCCCCCCTTTGAAAAATCCTGGCTACGCCCCTGAATGATATTGCAACAAAATTATTAAACTGAGTAGCAAGCATTATCACATGAGTTTCAAAGAGAAAGTTGATACAAGAGTGAGAAAAACCTTTACTTCCCCTCTTCCTTCTTCCCTTTTTTTCATTCTTGTTCCAACTTTCTCCATAAGCTGATATAGAAACATTTGCTATGCATAGGCTACAACACTACTAGAAATTTCACCTAAATGTAAATGTTGACCACTTATTTCACGTGACAGAAACCCAAGGTAATTACCCTTAGTTCCTGCTGAAATCTATTGCTGTTGATCACATATGATGCTAATAACTCTCATCTCTTTTCATTGAAGATGCTACACTGTGTAAGAACATAACATGCAATGAAATGGCATAACATAGGAAGATTTCCACTTATAAAGAATCACATCCAGTAAAATCAAAGTGAACTTTAGTAATTGTAACAACATATTCTTATTTCTGTGATTATTAACCTACTGATCAGTCTAATCGATTTATTTTAATTATTATAATTATAATAGTTGTTTAATTTAATTAATGGTGTCCCCATTTGGTGGTTCCTCTACTGCTTTGAAATTCTTAGTTGGACATTTAAATACAGGTATCCATTCATTCATTCATTCATTCATTTATTCATTCATTCGTCAACATAAAATGTACCAACGAATCACATAGAAAGTGGCAAAATTTGCCACACATGCAGATCAAGTTACCCGCTGAATTATAGTAAGGCATGTAATTTTCAAGAATCTATGACAAAAAATAAAACTCAATCAATACTATACTTAACTTTTTTTTACCCACAGAACAATTGCCACATACCAATAACTGTTTATATCTCTGCTTGAGGTTTAAGGAATTTGGACTCAATCTGAGCAGAAGATATATAAGCATTTCTTCTTTGCTGATCATTTAATTAATTCTCTTGATCCCCTTTCTTGATTCTGTATTGATATTCATTAGGGAGGATTAATATTTTTTTGATGTTGGTCTCTTGGGACTTAAAGGGGTAAATCTTCATAACCAGCTTAAAGAGTTGATCAAATTTGGAATAAGTTTGCAGATATCATTAGAACTGACGTCATTTTTTTAGTGTACGGATATCAACATAAAAGTGGCAACAGAAGGCACTGTAGCTCAGACATTTTGGCAGATCTTTTTTTTTTTTAATATAAAGGTGAAAACTTTACATACAGCCTGAAGATCGAGATAGGCACATTTTGCTGAAGATGGAAATATGTTGAATGAATAATAAAACAATAAAAATAAATAACTGTTTTATTTTTTCATTCAAATATATATTATTGACTTTGGCTTTTGCATGACATAAAGAATTATGTAGGAGTTATCTTTCTCCACCAATACCACCCTCCTTGATCTGCATGATTCTTCATAGCATACACAGCCTCAACCCAATATTATTGCTAATTAGATGTGACAAGCACCGGCATGCATACTGCTAAGGGATCAAAAATGTCCAGTGCACACTATTTGGTGATATAAATAATGAAAAATGGTAACATTTTTTACAATGAAATTAGTAAATGAAATATTCACCATGAGTGAGGAGGAGGACTGGAATGATCGACAGTGGAACCTCAATTTAACAAACCTCTATATAACGAAGTCCTCAGTATTACAAACAGTTTTCTTCAGCCTGGACAAAACTACAGTAAATGTATGGAACAGAACCTGGATATAACAAACCTCGATTTAACGAAATCCTCATTATGACGAACACAATCAACAAGCGCAAACATAAATTTACCTCGATATAGCAAATAAAAAATGATGTGATAAATGATGAATGCCAAACAGTGGACCAACAAGGATAAAATTTATGTGTACAGTACTTTAAAGCAGTTTTGTTTGCCTGTTCTTGAGTTTCTAACAATCTGGTGGCATAGCTATGTAAAGCTTGGTACTGAAATGTTATTACAGTAATTTTTCCTGAAATGCTGGATTTTGTAAATTAATTATTAACTATACCTCGATATAACAAACATTTTGATAGTTTTTGCGGAAACTGGTTAAATAGAGGTGTTCAAAATAACGAACCCTGAATTTAACAAACATATTTCCCCTGCAGTCCCTTGGCACTTCGTTAAATCAAGGTTCCACTGTAATTAGTTCCAGAGCGGGGTGAATAGGGGGATGCAAATCCGCCGATCGGTTATGATTTGTTAACCAAATCTGCGGTGAAAATTTTGCCTGAATCCGAAATTCGGACAAAAATATTTTAATTACACCCAAAGTCCAAACGCTGGGCCCAAAATATGGATGAATCTGCAATCCGCTGCAATTGCAGAATCCGGAAGTCCATTAAAATCTCACTTTGAATCCGAAATCTGGGGAAAAATTCTTTCAAAATCCGCCAATCCGTTTGCCTATTCACCCCCTCGTCCCGGATAGCCTACATTCCCCTTGTTTGTCAAATTACAGTTGTACTGAGTTCAAATAAAATGTTATCATTGTTTCATAATCTGCTGACATCAGATTGATGTCACCTGTTTTTGATTACACACCAAATAGATACCTAGGCAAGGAATCCATACTTACTTAACAGACCTACCCGAATAGTCCATGGCCATGGGGATGGGAATGTGCACCCATCCCCCTCCCCCTGCCTACCCCAAATTCAGATTCAGCTTGGTAGGAATTTTAGTATTGCAAGATCCACTGACTATGCATAAAAACTTTGATAGCTGATTTAAATATTGAAAGGGGCCACATTTACCATGCCTTAAATTTTGCAGATTAGCCAAGATTTGAAGTAGATGTCAATATAATGTCTGAGAAATAGCCATTTAAAAATTAAAGCAACTCTCTCCCTTGACCTGCAAATTACAACCTGATGGTAGACTTTTGAGAGAGTTATCATTGTTGAGTAAACATTGAATTGATTGCTTAGAATACAACAAAGTGATGAAATATCTTTTAAGACTCTTACAGAAGCATGCACCCCTAAAAACGGAAGTTAACTTTTGTACACGTATTATTAATGAAAGAAGTTACCTAGTTAACTAGACATGGGACAGCCAACAGAAAATAATAAAAAATAAAGGAAAAAAGGAAAATGATTTTAATGAATACAGACACCGTATTAAGCTTATAACGACGATAAATGAATTTGCATTCAACTCAAAATTCATCTCAGATATTTTTAACAGAATGAACCTCTCGGTTTTTGCCCGTCACGAATTTCAATGACAGAAAAGAAAACATTTTGATCAACGCACGCGGCACTGATGGTGCACATATTGCGCTGAATTTTAACTATCAGGCGGACACATGAAATTAAAGAATTTTTCTTTAACATTTGCAAAAGGGCACTCTAATAATTAGTCACGCCGCCTAGAGACAATCGTGGACCTTTGATAAAAATTCGAACTCCAATGTCGCGAGTATTACAAAAGTACAGTGTACGAATATTTTCACAGATTTTAACACCTGTTGAACGAGTGCTTCGATTATCTGAAGTCATTTCGATTGAACAACTTCGAATCAAGGCGAACGTGCACGTAAGATATCTTCCAACGAATCATTCGATCTCAAATTTCCCGGGAATAACATCCGTTCAATCGAATGAAAGGCAATGTTAGTTCAGAAGCGTTCATGCGGGAAGTGTTGTTTGAGAAAAGCGACATGAAGCAAGGCAACAAAGCTTTTCAATCTGACTGAATTCAAAAGACACGCGACGTGCCAAACACGCAGTCTTTCAGATTGTAGTCATCGGAAATTATAACTAACCTTCACGCGATCTTTTTCCTTCCGCTCCTTCAAATTCGATTCTCTTTCGCGCCTGTCGGCATACAGTTTAACAGAAGAAGACATCTACACCACAAACACGACAACAAATCAGGTAAATTTGGCATTCCAAAGATAAAATCCTCCTATGAAATGTTGCCTTCGACGGGTCTTCGTTACTTCGAGTATAAAAGACGACATATTAGCCGCGGATTTCATTTTGCAATTAGGTGCTATTGTCTTGTCAGCCAATAAGAAGACAAAACCGGACAACTGGTAGACTCGTTTATTCCTTGCACCAACCGCTCTTCGACTTCCGCCAATCACGAGCGGGAGTTGAACAATAAATGCCAATCAAGTCGTTTTAATCACGGTAAGATAATGAGATACCGAACCATTCATGGAGCCGGCACATCATTAGCTCGCTGAGGCTTCCGAGTCACTTCAGGAAAAAAAGCAACAAACAGTTTGAATATATGTTCAGCTAATTTATAATCGAAAAAGAAAATTATTCGGAGCGGTGCTGATATGAGCGATATCTTTTCGTTTATTAAAATCACATCTTGAGAGCGCTGTATATGGATAAATTTGTAATTAAATTCTTTTATTGTTTCAATCTACTTTGCAGGAGGTGAAATGTATTTTTGAAAAAAACATCTGCTCCCTTTGATCAGGTTGATTGATTAAAAAAGGAAATTATCGATTGCGCAAAAACCGCTGACCGGTGCTCCAGTCATTAAAGTAGTTCTCCAGCAAAACCAAGGGTGGAATCCACTTGTTTTATTGTTTCACAAACGGTGCAATATGAATTATCAAAAGAAAAAAAAAACCAATACAGGCCCTGACTACATAAAAAACAGTTCAATCATCCTTCCCATCGTGCTTGCCTTTGTTCGCATGAAACCGATGAACCGGCCTTGCTGAACTGACAGAGAGCAGGTTATGGGCTCCTGCAGAGAGACAATTGCAGATCCGTCTGGACGCCCAGCGTTGTTATCAGCTTTTCAGTAGCATAGTCTTTGGACTTCTCCTTTCTTATTCGTATTTTATTCGTTTTTTATTCTTACTACAACTAGATTTTATTTTTTGTATACCTGATTTTAATGATATTTTCCAAGAGTAGGCACCCCGCATGGTTCTGAGCCTCCCGTTCGTGCCCATCCCTTTCGGGCTTTAATTCTTTATGTTTGTATATTTTCATTTTTTTTTTTTCGATTTGATCTTGCGCAATAACGTTTGACATAATAATAATAATATTTTAGCTGATTAGATATCTTTTCTAGAGATCCAACGTTGACAACCAGCAGGATCTTCGTCCACGGTTTTTGCAGTTAATTTCTTTCTAAAAGTTTCCCTTTACCGCCCTTTTCCCACTCAGTTCCAATTCTCAGTACCACCGATGCCCGGTCATGACGTTTTTGGGAACCGTTCAGGAGAGATACCACTACAAGTTATTTGAACAACTACGAGGGCTGGTTTGCTCCTAGGGTGGAAGCATGTGTACGCAGTGATCGCCTAGACCCATACTTAATGTTAACTAGAGCTAACAAAAAGAGCATTTAATGAGCTCTACTTCAGCAATACTAGCTGACCTCAAAACTCTAACACTTTGCCATAGATTCATCTTCCCATAGTTTGAAAACACTTTTTCTCGTTCATTTCCCCAAAGGCGGTGAAAAACACGTCTTTTTTCAAGTGCGTGCTTTATAGACTGTTTCTGTAGTCCCTGTGGGATGAACTGAAGGCACTTACTCCTGGCTTGGGTTGACAAGGAATAGTGATTTGTTGGGTCTTGCACACAAGCCTAACCTCCTCCTCAGGCGCTTCGTTTTTCGCATGGCAGAGGCGAGCGCGAAACAAGTGACTGGTGATGAACCGCAAGGGACCATGGGAAGGGTACAGACGGCAGGCGAAGCGACGTCTCGCCCGTTGTCTCCTTCCCGCCTTCCTTTGCGCGCACAATTTCATCAAAAGAGAGACGTCTGGGTACGAGGCAGACACAAGCCTCGATCTCATTTCATCGTACGCGTTCTGACTGGAGCGTAATGTGGAAAAAGTCAAATACAATAGGCAAATCTCAGTTCTCATTTTACCTCTTTATGGCACTCTTTAATATGCCATTTCCAGTACGTTTGGACAGAAAAAAAATGTTGGATTGCAATTTTCATATATACTTTCAGTACTTTATAAAAACATCCCGACAGAGACCACAATTTAGAGAAAGGTTTGCTTTAGACCTTCCTAACTACCGATTACTCCTCATTACTGGAAATTAACGCTGGTTGAGTTATTTGAAATTACTGACACCTTAAATAAACGCAAATTGAAGGTAAAATTACTTCCTAATGAAGGAGATTAATGCGACAGACGGAGTAAAATTTTTAAATGGGGTAAATTAACGCGAAAAACAAAGGAAAGACAACTTGTAAAAAAAATAGGAACAGATTGGTTTTAATGCTAAATTTAAAACTATAAACATTAAACCATGAGGCCAGGTAGAGTGTGCTTAACATAAAGGGCACCATACTCACAGAATTGCCTTTTTTCGCATCGGGATTAAAGTTTCCTAGGGGTCAAGCGACCACGAGCATTTTTCGGGATCAGTAAAACTGGTGTTTTTAAAATATAAAGTAAGGGCGGGAAAATTAAGGCTCCATCTAATAATTGACACTGAAATAATCATTCTCAAGAAATACCAAGGTCTAAATTTTGGCGTTTATTTCATTACGTGTTATAATTTACAAGTACGCATGCGTTATTTGTGTCAGTCTTCCAGCTGGAAATGGACCTCACATAGTAACGAGTCTAATGCACACTAACTGGCAACCTCGTTCCCGGGTCTTCCCTTCTCTCTTAAGAACCCTGGGGACGGGGTTCTAATGTAAGCGGACAGCTCAACGTGCAGGCACCGCCTTCAGTACCTATTTGAACTCTCCGCTTAAAAAAATCATTCTCCTAAGCGACTAGCTCCTGTTGCGGACAATTTGTTCTTTTTTTTTTCCAGAAGGAGCTTCGACTGGACTGTGGTACAGTCATATACGAGATGACCTAACCTGCGATTAGGCCGTCCTTCTTCCCTTTTTCTTTGGGAGGCGAAAGGAATGACCCCTTGTTACTGAACCGGACTCGTATAGTACGGATTACGGAATACAAGAATACAGAGCCAAAAATAGGCCCTGATATGATCTTGGTAGAGTCTACATCCTGTCGGTCAGAAGGAGATCGGATACCTCACGAACCCTACACTCTGAAGAAATCTTATCTTGTCTAAATATTTACGTTTTCAAGAAAAAAGAGAAAAACCAACGTAAAGAGAGTCGTAGAACTTCAAACCCTGTTTACAACATTTTTCTCTTACCTCAATAACTTTCACGCCCCTTGCCTTTACATACCGAACTCCGCAGGCGTTTTCGGTTGCATGGAGATCGATCTAGGCTTCATAAGGGGCCCGACATCCATTTGAGCCACAGGATTTAAAAAGGAACTACAGTTGCAATCAACTAACAGTATTTTCAGTTCCCAGGATAAAGGAAGTCTCGAGCTTAAATGTGTTTGTTTTCTCAATGTAGATCAGGAGATAGGATGTGCTCAAGGCAATTGCCCCTTTCCCTTTTCGTAAATTTAGAGTATATATGCAGGTGAATAAGATACAATTTGAAAGAGACAGTACTAGTAAAGTTCACAAGAATAATATCACATAACCTACTTTGGGAATAAACACACACAAAAGCTGAAGTGTGCTATTCTCAGTTGTAGTCTTAAAAATTAAGGTTTGCCATAAACGTAACACACGAACGACCGAGTAAGAAATGACGTTGCCTGTGCCAGGCTCTCAAGACAGAAGGGACGTTGCGAGAATAAAACGAGCCAAGCGATAAGAAGACGCGCGCGATCCGGGAAGGGGAGCGGTGCCCTCTCTCTCCGCAGCCCCTGCGCGTTTTTTGCATCACTTAATACTTCCTACAATTTACTTCTATCTTGAAGCCTAGGACAGGCTAAAAAAGACGCAACGTGAAAATCCGATTAACGTTGAAGAGTCCAGTAATAGACATTATAATTCTCCAGCCCTCATCATCAACGAAGCCCTGGTCTGTCAACTGTTGTCGCGATCCAACTTGTTCCTGTTAGTCAGTCACTAAGATGGCAATCAGAATAAACTTTGTCTGCGTAGAATTTCCGCCCCTATAATTCCGACATTTTTGAATTTCAGGAAATATGCATGGTTCTCAGAAAGAGTATTCTCTGACAAGATCAGAGATTTCAGGTACCACAGATTCAACTGTAACCATTTTCTTCTGAATACAATGACATATCTGTTTTATTTACAATCGTAAGCTCCGTTGTTGCTTCAGTCTTTCGTATCTTCGCCTTGCCTCCAGTTTATGGAGCTGATTTTGTTCGAGTTCATCGTTACTTGGGTGACACATATTCGCTAGTGTTCTTTCAATGTTAGCCGAATAAACAGTATGGGAAGGGATTACTCTCCGATGAACCTGAAATGAGAAAGGATATGGATGAATCAGATAGAGTGCCACTTAAAAAGTCACGATTTCTTTAAGCCCAGCCTTCTTTGACAAGTGCAGTACAGGCCACGGGAATAAGCCATTTCCCAGTTCCAAAAACTTTCACTCTCAAAACGAGGCGAAGAGCAAAACCTTTCTTGTGAAAATGAGTTTTACTTGTATGAGAATAAAAAATAATTTTCATAATATCTGGCTTCGCGCTTTGCTTTGGTTCAAAGAAGACGCTCGGGAAACTCGGAAATAGCCTATTGCAACACAACACGCGTGTTCACGCTTAAAAATCCGCCATATTGCACGCAATTTACGCGACTAAACGACTAAAAATCAACTGGGTTACAACACTCTTACTATAAAACAGTCATAACACCATCTAATCAAATGTGGTTTTAAAATAAACCCTTGGGTATCATAAAGTTTTTTAGCTCACCTGTAAAGCGTCTCTAAGATCCATCAGTGATATAGGGGGATTAGAAACAACTCTGCTATCACTAGAGGCAATAGTTACTGCTGCTTCCGCTTCAGCTTGTTCTAACGTTCTTCCGTTATTGCTACTGCCTACAGACCTAATCACAAATCACACAACATCAGTAAACTATGTTCAACTGGTTTAATTAAGATATCTTTCGTGCCTACCTTAACAAATGTGTTGCTTCAGCGTAGTCCCTAAGCGTTCTCTCTTGCCCCGTTGTCCACGCGAAGTCTCTCTCGGTGACATCACAGCTCTCGGTAGAGTCTAGGGTTGACCGAGCCGAGAACGCCCAGGGACTAGGCTGGTGTTGCTTCACTCTGACTTCGGAATTCCCGCGTCATCTACTATCCCTAGCCTAGAAAACATCCGACATTTCGCGACGACCCCACTGGTTTTTTAATCTCTTTTCAATGCGAAAGCGCTAAAGAGTATATCAGTAGGAGTAGCACTAGTTTTCCCGCGAAAATGACCTCTGATGTGGTGTCACTACCCAGATCTGGGTCGTGAGTGCTTCTGATTGGTTGAAAAATTGCTTCATCCAATCAGAAGCAATTAGAAGTGCTACCCAAATCTTGGTAGTTACACGTCATCAGTATGGAGTTTCTGCGCTCGTTTCTCAGACGTCATTTCGCGAGGAATCCAGTGGTAGCGTCGCCAAGGCACTATTATCCCCAGCCGGTCGAATTCCGGACAAATGAACATTTTTTCTGGGCACTGCTTGAGACGTTTCAAAAATTACCAACACGGAAAACGGGAAATGCAAACCATTTGTTTCTTCCTGTCTTCATTACTCACATCCGGTAGGGAAAAAACGGCTAGTTTAAATTTTAGAATTTTCAAACAAATATTGTATGCTGGCACATGCGTTTTTTTTTTTTGCTTTACTTTAGAATAGGACTAAGATTAAAGCTACACACATAGGTTTCCACTTCATAGAAAGGCAAACTGATGAATTCTTCAGAATAAAGTCTGCAAATACTATGAAAAGAGGAAACACAAATGATGCCTGGATTGCCAGCGAGAGGTTCAAAAGGTGGTTATGATCTATTAATCACTCAACGGTCTTGCCCCAGATTATCTCTGTTCTAAATTTGTAGCCTATCAACCTATTCATTAAGAGACTCCGAGGGCAAACTTTCCGTTCCGCTTCCCCGTACTGAATTCCGAAAGAGGAGTTTCAGCTATGCCGGAGCAGTGCTCTGGAATAGTCTTCCAATAGAGTTGCGGCAAGCTCAAACCCTTCAGAGTTTCCAGACACTGTAGATGTTACTTTAATTAATGCCTAACCTTCAACGCACGGCACTCTTGAAAAGCAAGTTTTTTTTTTTGGTTACAATACGTATTCTCTTGTATAAATATTGATGGTTTTATAGTAATTTTTTTCTGCTTTTTTATTTATGCCATCCCGATGAGTTTTAACCGAATTGAAATAAAGATTACTACTAATGCCTCACCTTTCAGAATTTGGAGGCCAAGGACTTGTACTGTTTCTGAGATGTAGTCTAGGATAGGTGCTACCGATAGCGTAGCGAAAATGTCCATCTTTAAGTCTGAAAGAACTTCTCGTTGAACAACAAACTGTTAAGATATCTTTTACAAGGTGCTGCAATCAAAAACAATAAATTCCACTAAGTTAAATTCTTGGCCTTACCACAGGGGTATGTCCACATAATATGCAAACGTTAGTGCCTTTAATAAGAAATGCGACTGATTAATAAATTTAGGTAGCATTTCTTGTTGTGTTGGTAAGCCTGGTAGTGATACATATGCTAGATGGTACTGGTGACCCTTTAGTAGATCTCACTACACCTATTTACACTAACGCTGTCATAGGAAAATTAAAAAAGGGAAATGAAAGAAGATACATAGGAAGAAAGGATGAAACTCAAAATGTTTTTAGTGTGGCCAATTTACGTCTCTCAACCTTACTGATGTCAAATTGAAGTAATAGTCTTGAAGTCTTGAAGTAATATCAAAAAGTAATTTCAATGGCTATTATTATCAATACCTTTTTGTTTTGTTTTGTTTGCTTCTGTTTTTACAGTAGAGCCTCCTCTTTTGGGACACCTCTATTCAAGGGACACTGCCATTCAGGGGACACAAAATTTGGTCCTGGAAAAATGCAGTGGTGGATCCAGGGTAGGGGCCTGGGGGGCCACCCACCCCCCTTATTTCTGGACCAAACTGAGGCCTGAAGGGCTAAAAAATATATTCTTGGAGACTGGGCCCTCCCCCTTGGATGACCATTCCCCCCCCCTTATCTCTAGGTCTGGGTCCGCCACTGAAATGTTCACATAATCTTTGTATTTGTTGCCTCTATTGAAGGGACACTTCTATTCAGGGGAATGGGACACTTTTTCTGGGTCCTGAAACCTGGATTTAATCCATTAAGGGACACCTTAGCGATCAAAAAGTGACTGACCACAAAAATTATCGATAAGTTAAGGTGTTCACTAGTCACAATGGCGGCCGCTTTCAAACATGAATTGACTCACTAAAATCGATGTACTGCACTTGTGGGAATTCGACACACAGCATCGCAGAGATAAGTTAATCATGATTTTTTACACATTTATCTTCATGTAGCTGCATGAAATAATGACTGCAGCAGATTCCGTAGCCTGCGACAGCAGATGCCTTCTTTGGTTATAATAAAAATATTTTATAGAATGATGTGAAAAATACAAATTTAAATGAAGATATCATTGATCGTCGCAGTGGTAATTGCAATATTTATTACAATTACCACTGCACCTACAGAGCCACCATAAAAACAGAATACAAGACTAGTAGTCCTTCCCTTTTCTCAAGGATTGTTGAGCAAGCAAAATATGCAAGTGCACGTGAAAGTTTGACACCCGTGGGGAGAGGTGAGACCCTCTGCTTGTCCCCCTCCTCTCAAATGGCAATTTCGTGCTTGCTCGCACTTTAGATCGCTCTAGTATCCCTATACAAAATGAGGGACTACTCATTGTCTACTACTACAATCAGAGGCAACACAGGCTTAGCAATACTGCCTAAATCTATGAGACCCAAATAAGGAAACACTAGCACCATTTCAGGTGGGTATGTTACAGGTCAAATTTGATTTCAGGTGTAATTTTGATTTAACCCATATGTAGGTTGACTTTTTGTCCCCTTTGTCTCAAAAAATTATATGTAGAGGGCTAGAAAACATAAGTCTCATTTCAGGTGGGTATGTTCCAGGTCAAATTTCAGTTATTTTGATTTAACCTACATGTAGATTGATTTTTTTATTCCCTTTGTCTCAAAAAAATTTTATGTAGAGGGCCAGAAAACATAAGTGCCATTTTAGGTGGGTATGTTCCACGTCAAATTTGATTTCAGGTTGTAATTTTCATTTAACCTAAATGTAGGTTGACTTTTTTATTCCCTTTGTCTCAAAACATTATATGTAGAGGGCTAGAAAACATAAGTGCCATTTCAGGTGGGTATGTTCCAGGTCAAATTTCAGTTATTTTGAATTAACCTACATGTAGGTTGATTTTTGATTCCCTTTGTCTCAAAAAATAACTAGAGGGCTAGAAAACAAAGGAAACTTCTATTCCAACTAGGTTGAATTCTGGTTTTACATGACAGCAGATTTTAGCTATATCAACTATGTTTCTTTAACTGTCTTTGCTAGAGTTAGGCAATGTTGTATTACCTCAGTAGCATGAAGCATGAGGCTAACTGTATCATCAGCCACATTATCCAATCCTGCATCCCAAGCACCAAGAAACAATCGACCATAAATGGTAGCAGTGTCGGGTAACATCATATCATAGGTACAAAGTCCAATTTCACTTTCGTCTGATAATTCTTTTAGGGAGAGTTCAGGAGCTCCCTGAAGAGGATCACATGGAGTGAACCTTTGCTATAAAAAGAACACAGTCAGTCAGTCAGTAAGATTAGAATGGCTCAAATGTCCTCAAGACGTTTGTTTTAAGGGGTCATAATTATTTATTCATCTTTACCTCAAAATTTGCCTTTAATACTTTTTTGGGTTTCTTGATTTTTCCTTTCTTGATCAGCTGTGGTTTAGGAGTCAGCTTTTGTGGTGTTCTGGGATGTGATGCTGTAGAATGAAAAGGAAATTCATTCAACAGAACTAAACAGTAGATACTATACTCATCTGTTAATAATAACCATACAAGTGCAATGCTACAATCATGACAAAATTAGTTGAGACAACTTCTGATGTTTTGCCGACTTTAAACAAGAAAAATGTAGCTTTTCCTCCCCAACCCCCTCCATGCAATGTTGTGCCACTGTTGCTGCCTGTAGGAAACAACAAAATTTCTGTGTGTGGCAAACATGACAGGGGTATAACTTGAGTGATTGTTGTGATCCTCAATTGACATTACTGTGTTCTGGTCCTTTACGAAAATATCTGTTCAAAGGAAGGTGAAGTTTGGCTGAAATTTTTTTCAAACAAAATTTTTGTCATGCTTGTCACACAAGGTTTGCCATCCTTCTTTGCTCTACTATCCTGTTGCATATTCAAAAGTTCTCTACTGTCTGATACTATACAGAATGTACATCCAAATATCAAGAGACACAGTCCTCTTCACATGCTACTCATTTGCTCACTGAGAGAGACTGTTCAGAAACAACAAACATGTTTCTTACAGTTTCAATTACAGGCAAGAAAAGGTCCCTAGTGTAATGTTAAATAACATGGATCATTATATGTTTCTGGGAAACTGACCACCTACCCCTCCCCCAAGTCAACATTTTGCCCTAAGTGAGAAGTAAGTGATAATGTTGGCTTTTTTTTTAATAGGGGAGGGGTAGCTGGGCAGTTTCCCAGAAACATACGATCATCCTGTAAAATTAACTTAGATAACACACCTGGGGTAGCCCCAAGGGCTTGACATTTGGCTAAAATGGCCAGTAAGAAATCATTGTGAAAATGAACTGAAAAGAAGTCAAATAGAACAAACTGTATGATAACGTTGTGGTTTAATTTCATCTTTGGTTTATGCAGTATAATTTCCCTGTGTTAAAGTCATTATCATAAATTGACAGACCAAAACACAAGGGAAAACTAAATTTCAACTAAGGATAAAATTATTGAACCACAACATTTATACAGAGTAAAACAAGAACGGGTTCTAGAACACATTTGTTAAGACTATTTTCGTCCCAGTACTGCGTGTTCAACCATCTAACCAATCAAAATGCACAGATTGATCACACTTTACTGCATTAATTTCAATGCTGCAGATATGTAAAATAACCAAATGTAAAGTTCCCATAGTAGCAACCCTCGTCACTTTCAGCTCATTACTTTCCGGGTGTCGTTACTCTTGGTGGGTCGTTAATTTCCAGTATCAACATCGATGGTCTACTAGACTAGCGGACTAGGCGATGTAGAGGAAATCGAATTCTTTTCTGACTCAGGGGAGGAAAGCTAAACTCATTGCTTTTGGTTCATGACAAACAAATGTGTTTTATAGTGCAGTATACTGAAGTTTCAGTTATGTTCCTGTTGTTGATACGGTAGTTTTTACATTTTTCAATATGTGAACTGACGTCAACGACGAATGATAGTTTCAGGCATGCCATGTTTCCCTTGTTGTAAAACCTAGTTGATTCTAAAGGTTACATTACACTGACTGCAAGTTTAAATAATGTTATGGCAAAAATTAATAAATCAACGACAAATTGACACAAAGTTTTATCACAGCTCTGATCATACAAAATAATTATTGTACACTTACTGTTGTCATTGCCGAGACATTTCTTCGCCTGTGTGTCAAACTCCTCTTTGGAAATCTGCATTATGACATTTATATTAGGCATCATATACATTATACAATTTAATATGCATAATAAACAAGCACATAAAACCATTAAATTTTTTTGAACGAAAGCTGTTGTTAACCAATCTGATCTTTCTCTTTAAATATTTCACTGTTCATAGTGGAGAGCAATGATTTTAAGAGAAGTCTCTTTCTGTAGTTCGATATCCTGTCCTTGGGCATAAGCATCAGCACAAGATTGTAAGAAAATACACAAATGGAGAAATGTTTGTGTATGTTTGTGGGGAGCATGGATTAGAATACCTGCCAGCAAAGAAACTTAAACTGCAGAAGTTACATTTAAATTTGTAATCAAAACAGGGTTAATTCATAAGATGAAATTTTTTCTCCGTAATTCTTGGGCCTTGGAAGAGCTTTCTGTTATGCAGATACCGTAGAATCCCGGTTATAAGCCCTGGGCTTATACAATTTCGTAAGGGTTTTTGGGTGGGCCTATAATCGGGGGGGGCTTATAACCCGGGGGGCTTATAATAGGGAGGAAAAAAACGTCTAAAATCCGTTCTATTAAAATGAAAATTTTAATCATGTCTACTTTCAATTGCAACACCCGGTATAACAGGGTTATAACCGGGAGGAAATTTCTATTAGCAGAGAGGTGGGCTTATAATCGGGTGGGCTTATAACCAGGGGGGCTTATAACCGGGAGGAAATTTCTATTAGCAGAGAGGTGGGCTTATAACCGGGGGGGCTTATAACCGGGATTCTACGGTAGGCTGTAAATCCAATTTGACTTCACTAGGAAGGTCCAACAGATTTTTACAGTGTCGGCACATAGATTTCTGATCTTTGAAGTATGCCACCATGTATCTTGGTCTTATTTATTTGGTTGAATGAAAGGCCACTGTTCTTGAGGTGGCGCAAACCTATTTACATGTTTGTTTTGGTTGCATTTTTCCAGCAGGAAAGATTTAACCAATTTCTACAATTTTTGGCATCCTTAATACAGAATAGTGGAACTTTAAGAAAATGTTACTTATTTTCTTGTAGGTATAAAAACACTTGAGATATCGGCATATATTTAAAATCACATTTTATGAAAAATGTAAAGAACTTCAAAATCCTGCAACAGATTTTTCCCTAACATCACCAAATAAGCCTTAGAACTCTCATTTTTACAGGGCTTCTGATATTTTGCACAGTCACGGACCCGCGAAATTCAGGTATTTCTGAGAAATCCCGCGAAATTCCCCAAAAAATGCGAAATACCGCGAAAGCCGCCAGAAATATTTCCAAATACATGTCGGCAAAACATATTTAATTCTTATCTTGGTCATTAGGCCTGTTTTATTCACCCCAAACGTCCAAATTTATCTTGAAATTTCGTCACTGCAACAAGTAAACAACGTCCCAAAACTACCAGGCTTTTTAGATGAACGTTGCGAAAAACTGGGCACTAACCATAATGTTTTTCTCGAGCGAACTTTTGTTGAAAGAGCAAATGATTATCACAGTTAAAAAAACGTTAAACAACGCTGGTCATATCGACGCAAAATTGATCGATTTTAGCGAAATTTGCCAAAAAAAATCCAGCGCAATCGGCTGTTTTTTACTGATTGTTTCTTAGCGAAGTTCCCCCACGAAATTTCCCGTGAAATCGGCCAATTTTTCTAAGAATTTGCCCCTGAAAATTCTTCGAAATTTGACTTTTTTCCGCTAAAATCCTGCGAAATCGGCCGATTTTTCTTCCCAATTTGACTTTTCTCCCGCGAAAATCCAGCGAAATCGGCCGATTTTTCCGCGAATTTGCCCCTGAAAATCCCGCGAAATTTTGCTTTGTTTTCCGCGAAATATCAGAAGCCCTGTTTTTATCTGCAAGTTTGAAGTCAATGGGGACCATAAAACTTGCTGCACAGAATGCTGGTCAAATTTAACTTTAAAATGCTATGCTAACATATTTGTGAAAGCTGATGCACAAACAGAGAAAGAGTGCCAACAGACTATCTTCTACCTGAAAGGGTATTCTTACCCAAAGTTTTATTGCAAGAAACTGAATAATCAGAAACCTGTGGCAAATACAGTTGGCATTACAAGAAGAACAACTTCCTGCTGAGTGCACAGTGAGATTAAAAAACTTCTTTTTATCAAAGTTACTGTGTATTTGCCCTTTTCTTTTAAAAAAAAATCTCATAAAAAGCAGAATATGGCATCTACAGAAATCTCCTACCAGTTTTTAGCTCCAAAGGTTCCCATTTTGGTACAAGCCCCTGGGGTGGCCTATGGAGGGGCAATTTAACTGAGGCTTTTTTGCTTTACGAGTTTGGGGGGCTCATATTTGAAAGGGGCTTATACATGGAGGGGCTTATTTTCGGAATTTTATGGTGTATTATTACTTTTATTATATTATTATTATTATTATTATTATTATTACACCCACCCATCCCATCTTTCGCACTTAATTGTATATTAGGCCCGTTTCAAACGTCGTGCTACTGCCGTGTCGAACTCAATTGATCGAATTAAATTCGACTTTAGCACAGCAGTAGTGCAACGTTTGAAACCAAGTCGTGCTACTACCATGCTACACGGCAGTAACTCGACTTGGTTTCAAACGTCGTACTACCACCTTGCCGAACTCAATTCATAAATTATAAATACATTAGGGTATATTTAAAAGTTTGCTAAACCGTTTCTTTATTTTTGTGTTTTGTTTTCCGCAACAGCCGTTCTATTCGACTGAATTAAATTCAACGTCTGAAACCAAGTCGTGCTAGTGTTGTGCTGCAGTTGAGCTACAGTCGAGCCAGCTTAGCAAGGCAGTAGCACGACGTTTGAAACAGGCCTTACCATGATATCTATGACTATCTTTGAATCCATTAAGTTTGTAAACTGTTTAGACGACCCTGGATAGTTTCACCACTAATGAAGGTGTTCCTCACATAATAATAATAAGTTCTACAGTAAAAAGGTTTGTGATGGATAAGGGTACACCGCACTCCACCCCAGCACGTGCCCACAAAGCCCCTCCGACAAGACAGAAAATCAAGCTCAGTTTCCGCTTAATACTGCTTAGTTAATACTAACAAAAAAATTAAAATGTTACACTTACAGCTACATTTTAACATGATTTTAACCAAGGTAAAAGATTCCTCTGAGTAGCTGAAACAATATCTTCTTAAAGAGCAGCGGTAATTTAAAGTGTGACAGATAGACAAATGCAATACGGTGTTTATAATCGATGTTACCTTTTGTTTGTACCACAGCTTCATGTTGTTCCAGTACCTTAAAATAAGAACAAAGAATATAAAATAACGTTCGATCAAAGTTTCCTTAAACAAAGAAAAAACAAGTGATCATACGTTTGAGAGAAGTCCCCAAGGGCCTCTCCAAGTTGTCGGCGTGCGACACTCAAATCGACCGCCATCTTTGTTCTCTTCGAAGTACTTTCACGCGGGAAACCGCTGGATAAGTATGTCCTTCTCTGCCTGAGCGGAGGCGCGGAGCCTGGTTCAGGGGTGGCAGTCGGATGGCCAAATGGCGCAGCTCATTCCAACCAGAATGTTTCCGCAAAAGTGGGGAGTACATTCCGACGTATTGCCATTTCTTATTTTTCCTGGAATAGCCGAAACATAGCTAACCTGAAGAAGGCTGGTATGGCCAGCCGAAATATTGTTATCAAAAAACAATACATGTTGTTTTAAATCAGCTTTCAGTAGTCTTTAGAAGTAGTCTTTGGACTTCTCGTTCTTGGTTCTAAGCCCAATTTGCCTCTAACCTGAAAAAACAGCCGACGTTTAGCGAGCCACCACTGTCAAGAACTTAGCAGCTACAAAACGTATCCTTCAGGCATAGTCTTAGACTTTCTCAAAACTCGTTTTCGGTTTCTGCTGTTCCGTCGCTCGCTTTCTCCCGCTTCAACTCTCTGGCAGTGGACTTTTGGCCAATTTATCATAGCCTGGTCCCTTCAATCTTTCCTGGATTAGGTTTATCAAGAAAAGATCGAAGCAACTCTGCGAGCTGAGTAAGGAAAAACCGTTGACAAGAGCA